CCCACACTTCTCTCACCAAGCACTAAGGAGGAAAATGTCTTTGAGAGGGGACAGATGTAAGGCCTTACTCATGGGCCCACCTGACCCACACACCTGCCATTCTATGAGTGGCAGCAGATCTATACTCAAAGGCCTGGGTAGCTCCCTCGGCACCCCACCCCATGTCCTCTCCTAGGTCCCCCAAGACGGGAGAGTGAGTCTGTTACTGGCAGCCTGGGGTCTTTCCTCTTGAATCTGCTATGCCTGGCTCTTTTTCTGAAGACCAGGCTGGTACGTCCACTCTGAGACAGGAGTAGGTATATGAAAGAAGAGGGAGGTGGTTGGGCTAACAGAGAAACCCTACACAGTTCACTGTGCCTGACTTCACTTCTGAGCAATTTCCACTGCCTGACATACACAAAGCCCATAATATTTGAGCTAGCCTGAGTGGGTTCTGAGAAAACAATGATTGGAAGACTCTGGAAGCACAGTAGTTGGTAGAAAGCTCACCTGCTCTCAGGTATCAGGCTAACTTCAAAGGAACTCCAGATGACTGCCCCTAAGCAAACTCCACGCACTGTGGGAGAATCCTGGTTCTCAAAATAGATCAGTTAGGAGGCCAGGCATGGTGGCTCATGCCTGTAATCCCAGCACTTCGGGAGGCCAAGGCGGGCGGATCACCTGAGATCAGGAGATCAAGACCAGCCTGACCAACATGGCAAAACCTTGTCTCTACTAAAAATACAAAAATTGCCTGTAATCCCAGCTACTCGGGAGGCTGAGGCAGGAGAATTGCTTGAACCTGGGAGGTGGAGGTTGCAGTGAGCCGAGATTTTGCCGCTGCACTCCAGCCGGGGCGACAGAGAAAGACTCCATCTCAAAAACAAACACAAACAAACAAACAAACAAAAAACATCAATTAGGGCCAGGGTCAGAAGCTCAGATGCCAGGAGGACCCAGGTGGGCCAGGTAAAAGTGGGAAACTGGCCAGCCGTAGCTGACAGGAGAGGAAGAACCCATAAAGCAGGAAGCCTCTACTCCTTCTTCCCTCCTTCCCATCTTCACCATGTGGAGATACACGCCCCATGTCCAACTCAAGGGCAGCCAGAAATCCAGACTTTTGTGATACCTGCTGATTTTCAAATGTTTGTTCAATTTTCTTTAGCCACTCTACAGACCTAACAAAAGTCCATGGGGCCAACAGCTCACAATCTCTGAACTTGAAGTGTTAGTTCCTTTATGATAAAGTCTCTGTTTCACTCAGAGACACGCTGGGGGATTTTGTTAAACAGAAGACACTCCTAGTACAAAAATAGAATGTGATTCACTCTCTTAACAATGTTTAAGCACAGAAGCCGCAGTAAGGGATGCTTCTTCCCTTCACAAATTGCCTCACCTTGAGGTGTTTCAAGAGACAGATCTCTTAATGCATTTCAAATCAGGTTAGAGTGGCAAAAATCTAATTTTCATCCAACTTCTTGAAGAAAGATGGTAATTTCACTAAAGCTTGGATCAAGATTAAGGAAGGCATGAAGCAGAAGCCTGGGAGCAGGAAAATGAGGCAGGAGAGGGTGGTGGGGTGGAGGGTGAAAAGAAGGTGAAGCTGCATGCCCAGGCTGAGTGTTTGCAGAGAAGCTGGCAACCACGGTGTGAAGTCAGTCAGACAAAGAGCAGTGGGGCCTGGGGACCAGAGTGAGCAGAGAGGGGAAGAGGAGGAGGGAGCATCATTGGTTGCCATGGTGACAAAGGAAAAGGGATGGGAAGAAAGAGTGAGGGGGATGTCAGAGAAGAGCTATGTTGTGCTGCTGCCTACAACAAAGTCTTCTTTACCGGGGTACCCTTGTCTGTGATTTCTTGGCCCCTCTGATACTCCCCCCATCCGGATTCTCTGCTCATTCCTGGCATGAATAAATTACTGTGAAATTAAGGACATTCAGATCCTAAATATGGATGTGATGGATGAATGGGTACCTACTTATTGAGCCTCTGGATCTCCAAAAGGCCTCTTGGATTCAAAATATTTTCTCCAATGTGCTTCCATAAAGTCCATGATTCCACCATTAGGGCAACATTGCTTATACTAAGGCTTTGTTCATGTTCAATGATAAACCCTCATTAAGAGGGGGAATATCTTGGCTATCAATTTCTAGGGTCTTATAAGGAATTGATTTATTATATGTAACGACATGTATGTAATGATAACGTATCTAATGGGATCTCAGCTTCAGCCTAAGAATGTCCACTACTAGGGCTCAGGCCTATCTGGATATGCATGATAAACTGGTGGGGCAGGACAGTTCATAGGACGGTTCCAGTAACATCTGCTGCGTGTGTCCAGCAGTTATTTCCCCTTGATTTTCTTTTGGGCCACTCCCTCTTCCTCAATCTTAGTCCATGAAGTTCAGGTAAACTGACTTCTAGTCAAGGGGTAGGCCCAGGACCCAGATCTGGCCAACCAGGGCATTACATCTTCTGGCCAAAATGATTGGTTCATATGCGGACATATGACCCAAGCCTGACCAATGAGTTTCAAACCTGGATGTTTTGCTGAAACGCCTGGAAAGATGAGCTCTTATTCCATTGGCTACTAAACTGGTAGACTGTGTGTCCAGAGATGCTGTTGGTTATCTTGTTCCACTTAGGGAAGGCCTACCTGAGAATAAAACCAATATAGAGAAAAGCAGAGCCAAGATATGGGAATACAGATGGAGAAGGAGGGAGAGAGAAAGTGATTTCTTGATGACATGATTTGGGTCCCTGGATCCACCTGAGATAAGAGATATCCCTAGACCTTTCGACTTCCATTTTTGCTTTAACTGATTTGAATTGGGTTTCTCTCACTTACACCCAAGAGTTCTGAATCCTGCAAGGGCTTTCTCATATGAGTTGGCACCCAGGCTCAGCAACAGCTAACATAGGAGATACCATGGCACCTGTTCCCAGCCTGTTCTATAAAGAAAGATGTGTTCATGAACCTAACCAAGGGAGTCTGAAGGAGCTGTAGAGAAGCAGAGCCATTGGAACATATGTAAGCACACGTGCCCGTCTGCAGGGAAGGAGCCATTTCACCACTTCTTGAGAGAAAACAGCCCTGCTCTAGCACCACAAAGGGCTTGATGACGGTGCCAAAGGAAGTGGCAGCAGGGCCTGGCTGAGAGGGGATGCCCAGCGGGAAACTCCACAGACAAGCATATGCTGTGTGCTGCCAACATACAGAGCACTGCGCTTGCAGGATGATGGTCCATGAAAGGTCTGGAAGCAGCCCAGATGTCAATCAACCAGTGGGTAGATAAATAAAATGTGGGATATCCATACAATATTTGGCAATACAAAGGGATGAATTACAGATTCCTGCTACAACATGGATGAGCCTTAAATATGTTATGTTAAGAAGCTAGTCACAAAGAGTCACATGTATGATTTCACTTACATGGAATGTCCAGAATAGGCAAGTCTATAGACAGAAAGTAGATTCTTGGTTGCCTAGGGCTTGAGAAACAGAGGGATTTGGCAGTGACAACTAAAAGGTACAGGGTTTCTTTTGGGGTAAAGAGATGTTCTAAAATCGATTGTGCTAGTGGTTGGTTGTTCAGCTCTATGAACACAGTAAAAACCATTGAATCATAGACTTCAGAGGGTGAATTGCATGGTACGTGAATTATCTCAATAAAATGGTTACCAAAAAAAAAAGGTTTTTGAGATATCTGCCCAGTTGGTGTGTGATGGGGGTGAGAGCAGGGGATTGGCCTCCAGAAGGCAAGGGCACATCACATAGCTGCTGTCACTCTGGGCAGTACTGCCCTCAGACCTGGACAAGAGGGACCTTGCTCTGGGCAGGCACTTTTAAGAGGCCTCTACTCTGGCTCTCCTCTGGCTTGACTCTTCTCTGTGGGGTAAGGAGTCTCCAGGACCCAGTGGCTGTCTCCACCCATGCTCATACTTCCTTCTTCCTAGACCATACTTTGGGTATACAGGACCCTGGAGTTACTTGCCCAAAAGGCCCCAGATCTGTCTCTAGAAACTGCAGGCCATGGCCAGGCTCAGTGGCTCATACCTGTAATCCCACCACTTTGGGAGACGGAGGCAGGCAGATCACCAGAGGTCAGGAGTTCGAGACCAGCCCTGCCAACATGGTGAAATCCCTCCAGGAGTGGTGGTGGGTGCCTGTAGTCCCAGCTACTTGAGAGACTGAGGCAAGAAAATTGCTTGAACCTGGGAGGCCGAGGTTGCAGTGAGCCAAGATCGCGCCACTGCACTCCAGCCTGGGCGACAAGAGTGAGACACCATCTCAAGAAAAACGAAAAAAGAAAAAAGGAAACTGTAGGCCATAAGAGGTATGATTGGAACTTGGATATGGAGTCTGGAATGCCCATATCAGACTCCCCAAAGATTGAGGCAGAGCGCAGTGTGACAGGAGGAGGGCAGGCCATGGACTGTGAGTTGCAGGGTCCAGGGTCAGGGATGGGGAAGGCCTGCAGTCAGCTGTCCCCATAACCACAATGTTCCAGCATGGCTATCTCAGGACAATGAGATTCTAATTCGGACTTGACCTTCCAGGTCATTATGAAGATTTGTCAAGATAGGGGACTACAGCATTTGACAGTTTGCTATTACTAGATGATAGTTAAACATATGTCAACACAAGGTTTGTGGATCTCCTTTTGTCCTCTTGTCCTAGGTCCCCACAAATGTTAGGCACTGACTTGCTGGGAGGTGCTGTATTTAAGACAGAAATCTATCAGAGCTTTTCTTTATAGTGAATTGCGGTGTGGGGTTTTCTCAGGGTGCATTTATGGATTTGGGAAACGCAATTCATAGACTCCTTGCTCCAGGCTTAAAAAAAAAAAATAGATAACACATGGCTGCCTGCAACCTTGAAGTTTAATGATTTCTCTCAACGACATCTTCTCAGCTGAGCCCAAGGATTGAGGCATGTGCTGAGGCTGGAGACTGGGGTAGTTCTATGAGCCATGCTAGGGAATTCCATGTTGGTCTGGCTCTCTTTACTTTGTTTTTTTAAGGTATAATGTAATAGAGTCCATTTGGCAGGGAATTCCAGCAGAAGCATATGAGAAACATCTCAGAGCAGGGCTGGGGGCAGGCCAGAGTATCCGTTCATCCTTCTTCTACATCTATCCTGAATGTCCCCAAACCCCCCCGGTTAGGCAGCTGTGCAATGCCAAAAGGTGCCCAGCTGTGGGGACATGTGGGAGCTGAAATGCAGCCCACCCTTCCCTGGCCAAGTCACGTCCCTTGGCACTGGGCTGCATCAGTTGAGAAGAAGGGGAGCTTTTTTCTTAGTACAAAGGTGTCCTGTCCTCCCCACCCCATGGGCTCGTGGTGCTACATCTGCCCAAAAGAGGGTCTTTTTCTAAGGACACAAAGGCACCATGAATGAGCATGCCCTGGCTGGTGAGGAGAGAGAAGCTAGCAAAGGAGGTCAGTGCTATGTCCGGGTCCGACAGGACTCTAGCTCTCCCTCACCTTGGCTGACCCCACAATGCTCCCCTCTACTCTGATGGGTCTGTGGCAGACACCACCCTGCCCTTGAGAGGTACCCCATGGAGGAATGAGAAGTAGGTTCTTTCAAGAGCTCAAATCAGGTTGAACCAAAAAGAGAAGGAAGGCTCTGAGAGAAGAGTCCCGGTCTGGAGAGACAGCAGCTGGCAGGCCTGGGGTTCAGATCAGTTTTGCTTTTGCCTCCTCCCAAGAAAGGCTCTGCAGAAAGAAGGTCACCGCTCAGGGAGGTCAGCCCTTGGGAAAGTACCTTCTCTCCTGCAAATAAACCTTCAGAACTTGCAGGAACCCCTCACTCCATCGCCTTTCTTTCCTTTGCTCACCCATTCAGGAATGGGCCAGTACAAACTAAGAGGCAGGTACTCTTAAGGATATGAAGACTTTCCAAAGGATACACATTTTGGTGTGGGTCATTTAAAGAGACTCGCAGGACCAAATCCTCAACTTCTGCTTGGCTCTCTTGTACAGGTGACCTGTCTGAGCACAGGCCAGCTGCTCCTGGTTCTCCCTCTTGCCTCCCCTTTCTCCCATTTCGCCAAGAAAAAAAGGGCATACCTCTTATCCACCCCACATCTTACCATGATGGATTCACCAGGGAAAATGTCCAGTGCAATGAAGGGAGAATCTAAATCCTGGTATCCACGTTGAGAAAATGAACAGGAGCAATTTTAATGACCGAGCAAATCAACCAGCTTTCAATTCCCTGCCTTCATTCAAAGTGAAGGAGAATCAATTCCAGCTGTCAGCTGATAGATTTTTAATGATCTACCCATATGATTTTTGGCATATAACTCGAAAGGAGTTTATACAGTTGAGTGACACTGCTACCACCAAAGTCCTTGCATTCCTTTGTCCTTATGTGAAAAAGATTTCTGAGCTGAGCATCAATTTTTAAAAAAGAAAAACAGGAATAGAATTAATGCTGAACACTGACCCTTTCTAGCAATAAGGATTATTCACCCATGAATACAGGAACTAACTGGGATGAGGAAGGAAGCTTCATTTCCTTAAAGGATGCATTTCCAATTAATTATTCTTTATGCTTTCTTATTACCTATTACAATTTGAAAAGCATTTGTTTTGATTGTGTACTAGTCATCCTAGTACAAATAAAGGCAAAATGTTCTTTAACGCTGAGAATATGGTCACAGAAAAATTTAAAAATAAATTCCTTTTATACACATAGTTTTGTTGGGAAGAAATATGATAGAGTGAAGGGTGATACATAAAAGACTGAATCATAAAAATATATTCTGCTAAAATTCTGTAGGGGAAGTAGAAGAGAAATGTAAGTTCACGGAGAAAAAAATGAAATTTGTTCAACTTGTTCATGTATTTTTAAAAGGGATGATGGTGGTATCCAATCACAACAGCATTACATTTAGAAACATTTTTCAGAGTACTGTGACAGTCTCATTTTAAAATGTCAAATATTTGCAATACACCAGAAAGTAGACTCTATGTAATTATTTAAACTTATGAAAAAAATGTAAATGTTTGCACCTAAAAATGTGCAAGGGGTACACAGATTTTCAAAATTCTTTTAGGAGTCTGCAAGGAAAATGTTTAGAGAACCAGGGTCACGGAACTGGCGCTTCCCTGCAAGAGGAGTGTACTTACACGCAAAACCAAGGGCTTTGGGGATGGGAGGGCACCCTCAAAGTTAGGGGGTAAACTCCCACTGGGGCTGGGTTGGGCCCTCCCCCTTCATCCTAGCAATCCTTTCCTCTGGTCTTTTGTTTTCTTGTTTTATTTTCAGCGTTCCTCTAAAATCCCATTCTCTCCAGTACAGATGCTCTGCCAGGTTAGGGTGCGTTCTGTTCTGCGTTTTTCCAACCCGCCTAAACGCTTCCTTTCATCAGGGAAAGCCTCCCAGCCGGCCGCGTCCCCACCCTACACCGGCCCAGTCCTGGCTCCCCGAGTCCAACACGGTTTTGCTAGCTAGGCGTGCGCCGCTTCCTCCCATTGACTGTGACTTTGGGCCAGTCCTCCCTCCCCAGCTGGTTCCTAAGTTTTCTCATCGGTGTCTGCAAGTCTGTTTCCTCGGCAGTGAGATGTCGATAATCAGAATGAAGTAAGATGAAACCTGGCACGGAGCTTGGCCTGCAGCCAGAACAGGGCACCTAGTTGCATTTAACAAACGTTTGCTAATTGTGAGGCTAAATCGTCTCGCTTCCCAGCGATTAGAGAAGCCTGGGCTTCCCAGTGCCCAGGAAACTAAGGAGAGTTCCCAAACCCTCGGGTTTCCTTTGAGTAGCTTGCCAACTTGGGGTGATGAAAACGCACTCCCCTCCTCCCGCCGCCGCTGGGTCGGGCTCTGAACGCACGAGCCTCGGAGCTATGAGGTCATACGCGGGTCATGTGACCGCTGCCGCATCTGTCAACTGTGATACAATTACTAGACTGTCGGGGCGCCTATGACATTCAAACCTGCCCTCTCCTCCTCCTCCTCCCTCTCGGGTGCGCCGGCTCCTTTCACACCAAGGCACCGTCTCAAAAGTCTAGGCTCCAAATGCTACAATTTAAGAAAGGAGAAAGAGGGAGGAAAAAAGTCCAAGACTGCACTTCTCGTTGCTGCCGTTTGAAACCATGCTTAAGCCCCGTTCTTTAAAATCCTTTCTGCCAAAGCAAGTTGGCATATGTATTAAGAGCCTTTTAGAAATCGTCATACTCTTTAACTCATTAATTCCTGTTCTAGGATGCTTGCATATGGAAATAGTCCAAACTAGAGCAAAGGTTTAGGTACACAAAATTCACTCCCTTATTATTAAACCAACTATATATGATGATAATGAATAAATCAAGGTATAAAAGAACAATATAAGGAAGTCATTTAAAATGCTGATTTTTAAGAATTTTTCATGACATAGAACGTGCACCCAAAAAATGACAATAGCAAGTATTTGTCGTGTGCCAAACGTTCTGCTAAATGCTTTATATGGATTGACTCTTACAACCTTAAGAGACAGATCAGATCATCTAATCCTTTCTTTTATGGCCTCGACTTCCCTGGCTCAAGCAATTCTCCAACCCAGCTTCCCAAGTAGCTGGGACTACAGGCACTCGCCAACATGCCCAGCTATTTTTTAAATTTTTTGTAGAGATGGGGTCTCATTATGTTGCCTGGACTGGTCTCTAACTCCTAAACTCAAGCAATCTGCCCACCTCAGCCTCCCAAAGTGTTGGGGTTACAGATGAGAGCCACTGCTGCTTCTTCTTCTTCTTCTTCTAAAAACTGGCCTAGACAAAAAAAAAAAAAAAAAAAAAAAAAAAAAAAAAAAAAAAAAAATTGCCTAAGGTTGACTAGCTAATAAAGTGTAAAAAATTGAGGGTTACAGTTTATCCAAAGGGATGAACTCTGATCTAGGTTAATTTGAGTCTAGAGCCCAGCCTCTTAGCCTCCACACTCTGAACTGTCTGCCACAATAGTAACAAGTAAGAAATAAGAATACAACATTGCATATACACCATCAGGCCAGTGATGTGTATATAGGTGTATACATTTGCCACTACATACAATGTATGCAGAGGAAAAGGATGGGAAGACAGACTCCCACATTTTCACTATAGTATCTCTCAGTGGTACAATCACCAGTGATTTAGATTTTCTTTTAAATTTTCTATAATGTGTGTGTATTAATTTAACAGTTAGACAAAATGTTACGTACAGATCGATTTCACTAAAAAGCCAGGTGCTGATTACGGCAGTATTCATTGTAATAAAAACTTGAAAGTAGCTCAAATATCAATTATTATTGGATTCGTTAAGTGAATTATAAAATATATATCTATTGCAATAGTTTGCAGGCATTGAAAATGAAGATTACAAAGACCAAGTGATACCATTATGTGAAAATAAAAAATGCTAGGCATACTATGCATAATTATTTGAGGATATCATTGTAAAATCTATAAGGAGAGAGGAAATAACTGAAACAGGATGGTAAAATTAAATTTGATTAAAAGAATTTTTTGAACTTCTATAACATTTTTCTATTTCTTTTTTAATAAAACTAGTTTCATTGATTTAAGGTTTAGTATCAAAATTAGCATGGAACACATAGATATTTCTTTTGCCTTTTAGAATGCTTTCTGTTTTATCTCATTTTATTGCCAAAACATCTCAATGCAAATAGGCATTTTCTCTCCCACGTTAATGATAGGACAGTTACAGCCAAGAAAAAGTGAGCAAGTTGCTTGATGTAAACTAGCAGATGAATGGCAACCCTACACTAGAACCCTAGGCTTGCAAGCTCCCGTCTCAAGTCTCTGGCCTATAAAAGCACATTGATTCTCTCACAGAGAGGGCTGCAAAGCCCTGCTTAGACAATACAAACTGCCATTATTAAGACCCCAAACCATAACAGAAAAACAGAGAGCCAAATCATGAGTGAACTCCCATTCACGATTGCTTCAAATAGAATAAAATACCTAGGACTCCAACTTACAAGGGATGTGAAGGACCTCTTCAAGGAGAACTACAAACCACTACTCAATAAATAAGAGAGGACACAAACAAATGGAAGAACATTCCATGCTCATGGATGGGAAGAATCAATATCATGAAAATGGCCATACCGCCCAAAGTAATTTATACATTCAATGCCATCCCCATTAAGCTACCAATGACTTTCTTCATAGAATTAATGACTTTCTTCATAGAATTGGAAAAAAATACTTAAAGTCTATATGGAACCAAAAACAGCCCGCATTGCCAAGACAACTTAAGTCAAAAGAACAAAGCTGGAAAATGTACGCTACCTGACTTCAAACTATACTACAAGGCTACAGTAACTAAAACAGCATGGTACTGGTACCAACACAGAGATATAGACCAATGAAACAGAACAGAGCCCTCAGAAATAATACCACACATCTACAACCATCTGATCTTTGATAAAAACAAGAAATGGGGAAAGGATTCCCTATTTAATAAATGGTGCTGGGAAAACTGGCTAACCATATGTAGAAAGCTGAAACTGGATCCCTTCCTTACGCCTTATACAAAAATTAATTCAAGATGGATTATGGACTTAAATGTTAGACCTAAAACAATAAAAACTCTAGAAGAAAACCTAGGTAATACCACTCAGGACATAGGCATGGGCAAGGAATTCATGTCTAAAACACCAAAAGCAATGGCAACAAAAGCCAAAATTGACAAATGGGATCTAATTAAACTAAAGAGCTTCTGCACAGCAAAAGAAACTACCATCAGAGTGAACAGGCAACCTACAGAATGGGAGAAAAATTTTGCAATCTACTCATCTGACAAAGGGCTAATATCCAGAACCTACAAAGAACTCAAACAAATTTTCAAGAAAAAAAAACAATCCCATCAAAAATTGGGCAAAGGATATGAACAGACACTTCTCAAAAGAAGACATTTATGCAGCCAACAGACACATGAAAAAATGCTCATCATCACTTGCCATCAGAGAAATGCAAATCAAAACCACAATGAGATACTATCTCACACTAGTTAGAATGGCAATCATTAAAAAGTCAGGAGAAGCAACAGGTGCTGGAGAGGATGTGGAGAAATAGGAAAACTTTTACACTGTTGATGGGACTGCAAACTTGTTCAACCATTGTGGAAGACAGTGTGGTGATTCCTTAAGGATCTAGCACTGGAAATACCATTTGACCCAGCCATCCCATTATTGGGTATATACCAAAGGATTATAAATCATGCTGCTATAAAGACACATGCACACGTATGTTTATTGTGGCACTATTCACAATAGCAAAGACTTGGAACCAACCCAAATGTCCATCAATGACAGACTGAATTAAGAAAATGTGGCACATATACACCATGGAATACTATGCAGCCATAAAAAAGGATGAGTTCTTGTCCTTTGTAGGGACATGGATGCAGCTGGAAACCATCATTCTGAGCAAACTATCACAAGGACAGAAAACCAAACACTGCATGTTCTCACTCATAGGTGGGAATTGAACAATGAGAACACTTGGACACAGGAAGGGGAACATCACACACTGGGGCCTGTCATAGGGTGGGGGGAGGAGGGAGAGATAACATTAGGAGATACACCTAATGTAAATGACAAGTTAATGGGTACAGCACACGAACATGGCACATGTATACATATGTAACAAACCTGCAGGTTGTGCACATGTACCCTAGAACTTAAAGTGTAATAAAAAATAAAGAAATAAAAAATAAAGAAAAGCTATAATCATAAAAAAAAAAAAAGACCCCAAACCCAAGATCCAAGTGTAGCTTCTCTCTAGAGGGTAAGCCTGGAGGCAGGAAACATGCCTATTAATGCTCTTTGTCTTCAGAGTGGGAAGTCAAAAGCGTAAAGCATTCTCCTGCACTCTCCATACTCATCCACACACCCACTTCCCCCCAACCGTACACACGCAGCCACCCTTGTCCCCAAAAGCAGTCTCCCTGGGAACATGCTCTGCCCTTGGATGGAGAGAGAGGCCAGTAGATTTGTAGTTTATCCTCTTCTTGCAGTTTAAGACACAACCTTGCCCACAACCCCTGTAAGAGAAGCAAGGATCCCCGAGGCCAGAATGTGCCAAAGACCAGTTGCAAACCAGGCTGGTATCAATGAAATAAACCTGGAAAGAGAGATGAGAAGAGGTCAAGGATCAGTGACAGCTGGTGAAGCCAGCACTGGGGTGGGGATTGGGGGCGTGGAGAGCCCCAGGAAAGTTGGTTATGGGCCCCTGGTCCCTCACTTAATAGAGATGTGACTTGCCAGGGTCACACAACAGCTAGAGAAAACGGGGAGTGAGTCCAATCTAAAGATCAAAGGAATCCATCAAAGACAGGGCCACAATTCCACAAAGCCAGGCTCTATTCATTCATTCAACATATACCCAGTACCCTTCTTGCTTACCATATCTTTCTGATTTTTATGGGGCCAGAGCCAGTACCCTAGCCCTCACCCTACTCCCCAGTCCCTT